GAGCTTGATGAGCTTTCATCATCGCTACTGCCTGAAGCACCAACGTCAATAATGACTGGCTCGACTTGTTCCTCTAAAATATTGTCCAGTTCCCACATTCTCTTTCCAACTTTGTCTTTCACATGCTTAATACAGTTTTCCCATTTTTGTGCTGTTATTAATTCTAGTGCTTCTTTGAAAAGTCCTTTGAGGTCACAAAATTTAAAAGTTGTATTGTGCTTAGCTATATAATTTTTAACCTCTGCCCATATGAGCTCAATGGGATTGAGCTCGCAATGGTATGGAGGTAAACGGAGCACAGCTTTATTTTGACTTGCTGCCATTTCGTCAATGGCGTATTTTTGATATTCCGCCTTGTGATCCTTGACAATTCTCAATAATTGTACTTTCAGCATTGCTTCTTCAAAGTTGATATTTTTCGAGCGGAGCCAATTTTGAACATCAACTTTCCTTGAAGCCGTTGTTGGGACCTTCTCCATTCTTCGAGAACGATAAGGCGCATTATCCAACACAATGACTGCGTTTTCCTCTAAGTTCGGTAAAATTTTTGAAAACCACTGTTCAAACGATTCGCCATTCATTTCCTCGTGGTAATCTCCAGTTTTCTTAGACTCAAAGCACCACAGACCGTCAACAACAAATCCATCCTCACTGCCAATATGGCAGATAATGAGCCTTTTCCCTTTACCTGGAAATCGAAGTACTAACTGGTGTAGATTTATTTCAATAAGCGAACCTTTTTCAAATGTTTTCATCACATTCAGCGAAAAAACATTGAGACATGAGTATCAGATTGCTATAATTGGGATTATTTAGTCATATTGAAAGAAAGAATATTGAACGTCGTATGATTACTCAGCGCTTCACAATTTAATTTAAAGTTATAAACCTTTAAAAAATGAATGATCAGGAACCTGAAATACCCGCAAATATTAATATTAACAAATTATAACTTTATAAAGCTTAAAGTATGAATTAAAATGATTAGAAATATTAGGAACGGTACACAATATAAAACTTAGTAACTTTTTTTAAGTTTATAATATTCGACATATTTTAAGATTATATTAAAAAATTATTGAAATATCGAAAACACATAAAAACATGGCTTAAAAAAGTTCTAACAAATGAAAATGACAATAAAACATCCACGCATTTTATCGAAAGTTATAAAAGTTTTGTTACTTGTAATATGTTTTATCTGCCCCCTGGAATTAATGTTTAGAACCTTGTTCCCAAGGTTTGAAAAACATCCGATTGTTGTCTATTACTCGTATTTACCTGCTGGATTTTTTAATCCGGTGGACAGTCCATCTAAAAAGGCCCTCCTGGATGAAGTTACAGAATCATCAACCCATACTTTACTTGTAGTGTGTCCTGCGTTTACCCACGTTTCATCAAGGTAATAAATCTTCCTGTTTTGATTTCTATATTTCCCAATTTTTGTTAAATAATCCCTCCTCCATAGCACAATTTCTTCTCTATCCAGTAGTAAACTATTACGATCCTGTTTTTTCCATTTGAAATTTAAATGCTTCAGTAACGCATGGAAAGTTGATCGTTTGAAATTTGGCAACGTTGTATCTCCATTTACCTCCTGCAGTACTTTATCTATAGTAGGTGTTTCATTCCTAAAGAAGAATTCATGCACTTTCCTCCTAATCGCATGCTTATTAGCTTCATCCAATAATTTAACAATACTTTTGCGATGTACTGGTCATTGGCTCAGAAAAGGTGTTATTTTTTTTTTATATTGTCTTAACACATTAAACACTGATGCGCGACACACCCCAACTTTGTGAGAAACCTTCACAACAATTTCTTTGATGGTTGATGCCTCGTTCTCCTCGCGCTCGATCTTATATATATTCAAAATGTCCTTTTTCATTTCTGCACTCAGGTGTCTTTTTTTAGAGCGTTTCCTAGGTGGACTACAGGAGTTTACAACTTCATCGGCAGTATCTGTACTACTGGGCATTTTGCGCAAGCAGTTGATAACAATAACAATCAATAACAAGGTATAACAATAACAACGACAAACTCAACAACTTAATAAGATAACAAACGAAAACGTCCAAAGAAATATCAAATTGCAATGATGCACACGACATACGTAACACGTCTGAACCTGAATGTGACTCTGCCTTGATACGACTGCTCTGCCGTTCGGCATAGGCATTTAATTGCGAATTGACCAATGAGGGCTCCTGTTTTACGTCGAGACGGCGGCGTTAGCGTGAAAATCACCCGAACCTTTTGTTTACATCCGGTCTATCTCTTATCTGAATATACTGTATGGTTTATGAACCATTCCAGTGGGCCGATGTCATTGCTAAAGCCAAAGTTAAAAATCCTTTTAAAGTTGTCTGGATGCACCAAGCCTTCTTTGAGAATTTAACAGCTTTGGAATATTGTATATGGAAATACCTCAAATGTAAAATTACACAAGGATTGTGGCTGCAACTTACCGCTGATTCTCCAGCTACTTTGAGAATGAGAAAATCTCATAATATTATGCAGCCCTGGAATTCATTTCCCAAAAGCAATCGTGAAAGAAAAGAAACAATAACTTTTACCACTGATATCATATCATATCATTTGAAAGGTTACCTATAATGTATCACAACCTTCTTCCAATCAAAGATGAAAAATTAAAAAACCTTGAGGATATGAGTGATTATATTCCGCTTAAGTATGTAACATTTTATGAGAAATTAACTGCAACCCAGTAATACTTATTTAAGTTTCAGTTTTGGTTTCGAAACACGTTGATGAACTTAGAACGTGTTTTTTGTTATTAAAAATATGTTACTGTGTTCTTTGGTTTCAGTTTTGGTTTCGAAACACGTTGATGAACTTAAAACGTATTTTTTTGTTATTAAAAATATGTTACTGTGTTCTCTGGTTCCCTTAATAAATAGAATTGCTGAAAATACTTGTTTTGCTTATACTCATTTAAAGCCTCCCTGTAACAACGTTGTAAGTAACGTGATCATACAACCTTGTTACATGCGTTTTCCATAAAAATGGTTCCCATTGCTGCAAAATAGGTGTCACATTTTTAAATTACAATAACCTCGTATGGCTTAGTGCTTCTGTTACCCCTGTATTCAAAAGGGCGACAAATCCTCCGCTAAAAATTATCGACCAATAAGTCTCGTTCCTATCGCCGCCAAAATAGCTGAAAGAATCATATTAGATAAGCTCCAGTCATTTGCTTTCGAAAATGACCTTATCCCTAAGAATCAGCATGGATTTCTCCCTGGTCGATCAATAATGACCAACCTTCTCCACTCTCTCAACGATTGGACTCAGTATCTGGACACAAAGACTCCTGTTGATATAATCTACTTAGATTTTTCTAGGGCTTTCGATCGCGTACCACATAGAAGGCTTCTGTTTAAGTTGGAATGTATGGGAATAAGAGGCGAGTTGTTACTGTGGATTAAGGCTTTTCTCACCGGGAGGACTTTCTCTGTGCGCGTCAGTGATAGCCAGTCTCACCTTCATCATGTAGCAAGTGGAGTTCCTCAAGGCTCTGTCTTGGGGCCAGTGCTGTTCCTTCTGTATACAAGTGACCTGCCCGCATTGATTTCCTCTACATGTTCAGCTTATGCCGACGACACCAAGATTACAATACAGTCGTAAATTCTGCTATGCTTCAACGAGATCTTGATATTGTTTGTCAATGGTCAGTCAGTTGGCTTTTACCCTTAAATCTAACTAAGTGTTGTGTCCTTCACCTCGGGAAGACAAATCCGCGATTTACATACAAGATCTCTGACCACAACATCGAAGCAGTTTCGAGCCACACTGATCTGGGCGTTGTAGTCAACGATCGTCTTTCCTGGTCAGAACATATTCACCACGTTACATCAAAAGCCAAGAAACTTCTATATATGCTGGAGAGGTCTTTCAAAGGATCCGATGTCAACACTTGCGCCTACATTTACAGGCATTTGTGAGGCCAATTCTTGAATTCGCTGGCGCGGTATGGGACACTGTGCTTCTGCGCGATAGAAATCTCGTCGAATCGGTACAGCGTCGGGCTACTCGTATCCCTTTTGGAGCCGAAGACCAAGCTATGAAGATCGCCTTGAATTATTCAACCTGACCTCATTCTCTGAGCGAAGACTTCGTGGCGATCTTATAGTTACGTTCAGGATACTTCATGGTTTGATGGGCACCAACCTCATGCATCTATACCATCTGTCGCGCAGCAATCTACGCGGACACAGCTTCAAACTGCATAAGGAGCCATTTAAAACAACAGTCCGACAGTGGTTTCTTCCCAACCGCATACTCAACACCTGGAATAGTTTACCTGAAAGTGTGGTTGGTGCTACTTCAGTTAATAGCTTCAAAGTGCAGTATGATAGCTGGAGGAGTGTACAAACTTTATAGCTATGAACTGTATTTTTTTATTTTTTTCTATTTGAGTGTATTTGTGTTACGTGTCCGTACACTATATTTACTGCATGAGCTTATAGTACTGTGTACTCTGCTCATCTCAATTATCATAATAATAATAATAATAATAATAACTATTGTTCCTTTATTGTGCTGGCCAACTATAGACGCAGTCATTTGAAAAAAATGGTTCAAATTTGTTTTTCTTAATTTCGGCCACTGAGCTTCTTTGTTTTCATACAACGTTGTTCCGGCCGACCCTTCAATTATCGCAACAAGAATGCCTTGCTGACTGTCTGTTTCGGCAACGAAGCGCCACATCAGGCGACAATTTCCCGTTGGTATGGAGAATTCAAACGTGGACCCAGGAAAACGTCGATGCTGTGCGCAAACCCATCATTGAAGATAGACATGTGACATATCGCGCGATTGAGGCGTCCTTGAAGACCTCAAAGACCTCAATTCAAAAAGTTTACTTGTAAAATGAGGAGTAAGAAAATTAGTTTCTCGTTGGGTACCCCACCTGCTGACTGAAGAGCAGAAAACAGCCAGGGTTATTGGTGTCAAAAAACGCTTGACCGTTTCAATTTCGGAAACTCAAAAAATCTATACAGCATTGTTAGTGGCGATAAATCGTGGATTTACTGTTATGAACCAGAAAATAAACGACAGTCGGCTGTTTAGGTATTCCAACAAGATGGTCGCGACATTTGTATCAAAAGCGGGTCATATGCAACAATTCCTCTTAATGAGCAAAGACCTGTTACTGGCGGGTTGGTATACCACCATTTGTTTGCCAAAAGTCATCACCGAGCTTCGAAAAATCACCCCGAAAGAAGGATTATCCTCCACCAAGACAATGCAAGCTCGAACACAGCCCAAAAAACGAGGCAGTATTTAACGGAAGAAAACGTGGAATTTTTGGACCATCCTCCATATAGTCCCGATCTAAGTCCTAGCGATTTCTTTACTTTCCCGAAACTTAAAAACAGACTGCGTGGTCAAAGGTTCCAGTCACCAGAAGAAGCAGTTGACGCATTCAAAAATGCCGTGTAGATGTGTATTAATCTTCGTGGAGAATACTTCGAAAAACAATAAAGTAATTTAAAACTACCTACCGTGTTGTTTTATTTCCCAAACTTAAAGGACATCCCTCGTATATCACTTTCTAAAAGCATTTTCCCTATTCCGTACTATATGGAAGCTCCCATATATGAGCCGTTTCGAAGCTACGCTTTACTTAGAAGACGTCTGTATGAAGGTATAAGCCGCGGTGCACTTGGAAGAGGATAAAGCCTTATCCGATTTTTATGATTCGGACGATAAAAATTGTAATAATCTCAATGCTGCGGAAAATCCGTTGATGGCTATTTTTATCGCTAGCATTTGTCTTGAATCCTATCCTGTTACGTGTTTATGTGTAGTTGCAATGGTCCCTTGCCAAGTCAATCATATCAGTCATGCTATAAGATTGTACTCAATACTGGTCATCTCTGTTTTGGTAGGAGTTTTGTGATACCCTATACAAGGTGCTTTCCTTTTTTGAAATAATTGGTTCATCTGGAGATACATGCCACAGTGTATCGGTTTCTTAAACACACCTTATAATCGGCTACTTGACTCATACCTAATTTCACTGAATAAATGAGGGATTTTTTACATTATTTCAGAAGAACGAAATATATCGATATCAGTTTTTCAAAGCGCTAGATGCGAAAGGTTGAGAAATCTCGAACTGGAGATACTACAGACCAAAATATGTGAATTGACCTAAACAGTACCTTAGTCCAAAAGGAGATTTCAACAGCTATGACCCTACATCCAATTTACCATTGAAAAAGGAGATGAGAACCTGTCTGTCCCTTAGACACAAGGCTCATCCGCACCAACAATAATAGTTTATCGTAGACTGGTACCAGAAACCCATAAACCAAGGATTAAATTAACTTGGTGAAGCAGATCAAAACAAGGGTAATCAGCATCTCTGATAATACTTTCCATACTTCAATTTACGGAAGCTATCAAAACTGTGCGTAAACAATGGTTATCCGAAGTGTTTGATTAACAGGATCTGTTGAGCCCTCCTTCCAGTATTTTACCAAATTCTTATAATCCAAGAAATATTCTCACAACACCTAATAACAGAACTGATGCAATTCCCAACAACAACACCAATTCCAATAACAATATACAACCGCCATCCCAAATTCCATATCTGGTTTTGCTGTCCTACCCTGTATCAAAGAGCTGACCCCTAAGCTGATCAGACTATGTAGCCCGTTGAACTGTCGAATTGCTTGCAAATCCGTCCTATAAACTGTATTTTTCCTGTTGCTTGGCTTAACCAACACTACTTCAAGCCCAAAGGATCTACAAAGAGAAAATGATGTAGATCCTTCGGGCTTGAAGTACCACAGCAAGTGGCTATAGCCGGCCGCGTAGTTTTGGTTAGATGTCTCCTTGAAAATTCGAGGTCTTCTAGCCGTTTTATACTACAATGTGTAGGTTGGCTCTTGTTGTGGACTTCGTGTGTCGTTTTTTTCCCTCTCCATCTTCGTTTCCTCAGGTTACACCCGTATCCGGATGTGTGGGCATGTGTTCTACTTTTGTAGTTTCATATGTGCATTCATTTCGGGCTGATGAAGCCAACCAGCAGAAATACGTATCGCTCGGGCTACCTATCCTATTTTCTGCTCGAATCCACTTTCCTGCTTTTGCGGATTTTGCTCATTATTTTCCTACTTCTATATATATAAACTTGAGACGTGGTCATTGTCGTCTAGATCAATTAGGTGAGGAATAAAGCTTGCGCCTTTTGTTGGGTACTTTGACAAAAATTTGAGCAAAGAGGACACTTTATACTTTATTAATCTCTCTAGCTTTCAATGGTCTTTGCCATCATCATCAGGAGCTGTAATAACATTGAGAAGAATAGCAATATATATATACAGGGTGACTTTGAAGTTGAGTCATTAATTTTCAGATAATGATTGTAGAAGGAAGATAAACCAAAATATGTGTGTAAAAATAAAAAAAAAATAAAAAAAAATTTTTACCTTGTTTTATAAAATCCTCCCGACAAGTATTTCAGTGCGGACCTGTATTTGATCGTGAGGTCCCCTGTGAGGTCTTAAGTCACCTGATTCACAAGCCCGTTGTACTACATTAACAAAGGCACGAGGGGTAGGTTGCACTCGATTGGGAAACCGATCCGCATAAACATGTGCCATTTTTTATTTCGTTTGAGCCACGCAACACATACCACTATTCACTGACACTAACTATATACAAATGAATGAGATACCTGTAAAAACATCGTTCCAAATTCTTTCGCTTTTTTGTTTCCGATGCGATGAACCGATACGGCGGATTATATCCATTGTCGCCAAACACGACCACATAAATTGTTATTGAGACAGGGCGGTACTCAAACTTCCAAAGGGCTATAACTTTGTTACTTTAATTTTACCAGGAAAATGGTAAAGGAAAAAGACATTTCTTTTGATCAGATCTACTCACTGTTAAAATAAATGACTCAACTTCGAAGTCACCCTGTATATAGGTATAACTTGAGACGTGGTCATTGTCGTCTAGACCAGTTAGGTGAAAAATTAAAGCTTCCGCCTTTTGTTGGGTACTTCGACAAAATTTAAGCAAAGAGGACTCTTTATACTTTTTTTAATTCTCTCTAGCTTTCAATGGACTTTGCGATCATCATCAGGAGCTGCAATTACATTGATAACAGTAGCAACAATAGTGTAAAATGAATTTAAATTGACTTAACTTACAGTAGTATGTGAGGATGTTGCTAATTGTTGTTTACGTTCAGGATGAGGGAAACACCCAGTAACATGGTGAAAGCTGGATAGATGGTACAATGGTCAAAATTATATAAAATATACACAATTGTGTGACAAGAACAAGTTAAAAACAGATTAAATTTTTTTTTAAAAACATGAAAGCATTACATCGTGAAGCCACTTGACGATTGCACAAAATGGTGGTCATGGAATAATGAGTGAGGTGAACCCTTTGACAGAAGGCCGAATGTTGTCAATGTCTGTGTAGAAAGATGGAACGAATTGTGGGCGTGTGCCAACGTTGCCAAATCACTTCAGATGATGTGATTTTCAGAATGTTATGTAAGAAATTGTTTAAACCGACCAGAGGCAGTTGAATTAACTATATTTTAATTAATGGGAAATTAAATTAACAATATTATTAAATCGTGAGGGGAAAATTATTAGAATTTGAGTGGAATGAAGTTTATCGGTGGAATCGACCAAGAAACAGATTCCATTTATGGTTGTGAAGAGTCAAAATTTGGGGAGATATGTAAGTTCTCCAATTTTTCGCAGTTTAGCAAATGAGTAAATGACACTCAGTTGCTTAACATCTGTCTTTTTGTTGATACAGTTTTTATTCATGAAAATGTGCGACATTTCCAGGAATAAACGTTTGGATAGGTGTTTTTCTTTATCAAGTATCAAAGTAATGCTTTCATGTTCTAAAAATTTTTAATCTGTTTTTAACTTGTTCTTGTCACACATTTGTGTGTATTTTATATAATTTTGACCATTGTACCATCTATCCAGCTTTCACCATGTTTATTTTTTCCTATCTGTACAATGTATCACACACTCCTCCTGATGATGATGGCAAAGTCCATTGAAAGCTAGAGAGAATAAAAAAGTATAAAGAGTCCTCTTGCTTAATTTTGTCGAAGTACCCAACAAAAGGCGGAAGCTTTAATTTTTCGCCTATATAAATATATATATATATATATATATTCATGTAATTTTTCTTATTGCTAAACCAAATTATTAATTTTAAAATCATTAAATATCGTAATAGGAAACAACGTGCGTTGATTATTATCTTACGTATTTTTAGCGGAAGGTAAGTAAATTTGAATTTAAATTGATAACATTCTGACCCCATGCTCAGCACTGTTTAACATTCCGGTAGTGATT